CAACAGGGGGCGCCAAATCCCAACAAATACCGAATCTAACATAGGGTTGCTTTAAAAATAAAAATAAATGGGCTATCTTGTGTTACTTAAAATGTTCTTTTCTGTATTCAGTAACATGACCAGTACTACAATTCAGACAGCTTACCCGGCCTTTACTGTTGGTCTTCTTGGTGAAGCTGATGGAGGCGTAGGAAACACCATCTTCAGGATCAGCCTACACAGAGAAGACAACATCATGGCTGCTCAGTAACAATAGGATTTATACTGACTCACTTATAACAACTCGATATTTCTCTCTTTTTTTTTGTTTCTCATGGTCGTTAGATTGCTGTCTGTTTGACCTTATCCTATAAGTTACTTGTCACACTCATGACTTCCTGCTTGACACTATTTTTACACATTATGTTAAAACCCAAGTGGGTTACTTTCCTTCCCCTTTCCTCTCTCATGCAGAATAAAGTGAAACAGTGTCACTGTGTGTCTTATACAGTTGTTTTAGAGAGTGTAACTTTCTACTGGGTGTAGTGTGACCTCACCGTGTCCTGAGTGGTTTCTGGAGCAGACTCAGTCACCAAAGGTTTTAATCTCTGCCCCTGGACAAACACAGTTCACATTTCATTAACAAAAATACAATTTGTGCTTTTATAGAAGGTGTTAAATGCTATAACTATTTCTTGTTAAACAACAGCCAGGTGCATGAAGCTCTTGGAGTCTTGTTATCACTGCACCAATCTCTGGTGTCGGGCAGGTGGATAAACTGTTGTTCATCAAGAAGTAGTTATGTATGGATTAAACAGTAAAGATACAGCATGTTAGTAAGTCAGCTTTAAGTGGTGATAGGTGAATTTTTGAAAGTTAGACAGAGCTGAGCTAGCTTCCCCCTGCTTCCAGTCTTTATGCTAAGCTAATCGCCTCCTGGCAAAGCTCCATACTTATTGCCCAGCACCGTACCACTCATATGTTATGTTATTTTTTGGTATTTTTTAACTCAAAACGTGTATTTATCAAAACGTTGAACTATTCCTTTAACAGATATTCTTCCACTTCCACTCAAAAACTTCCTTTACCTTCAGTAAATCACAGTCAGTACTGATTATTCTCTTCCAGAAGCACACTACAGTGTTATGAACTTCCCCCTTTGCTCCGTAAAGTCAAAATTGTACTATTCGATTATCACGTTTTATACTCACAGTGTTTTCATCCATCTTTGTTTTGTTGCCTGTGAAGGCAGAAGAGAATCCACTTTAGCTTCCACAGTGAAAATTCAGCTTTTTCAAAACATCTTGTCGAGTTTCATCTTTGGTACCCCTCACCTTTAGTTCTCTTACATCTGATGGCCGTCACAATGATTACTACGAGTGCAATAAAACCTACAGCCACAATGATGTACAACCACCAACCTGCAAAGCAAATGAAAACATCAGAGGTGTAGTCTGCTCTGGTAAAAATCCTTTAGCCAAAAGAGAAGAGAAATTACTGTTATGATGGAATATCTTCACCCACAAACAAGTGTTGGTATGACATTCATACTTTTGGCTTCAAACGCTGAGAGAAAGACCGAAAAACAAAGATATTCTTGAAAGAGAAAATACCTATTGAGTTGGTGCTTGTTTGGTTGATGATCTTAATTATCCTTAATGTTGTTGTTGCTGTTGTTGGTGTTGTTGTTGTTGGTGTTGTTGCTGTTGTTGCATCCTCTTAAAAACAAAAACAAAAGCAACAAAGTGTACAGTGAGAAGAAAATTGACCATCTGCAAGAGCTAAATGGAAAGGATTTAATTGTTTCAAATACAGTGTACTTTGTGATTATACACATTAGTTTAAGGTGATTAAAATCAGCTGATATTCTCACCTGGTTTCTCACCTGAGGACTGAAGGCTGAAAGTATACTGCAGCACTGGTTGAACAAAAAGATCAGTCACTTCACACTCATGAATCTCTGACTTCAGGTTAAGATCAGATGTAGGGAATGTCACAGTAACTGAGCACTTAGGCTCTGATGTGTCCCTGTATTCATCATCTTTATCCAGATCTTCACCCTGATACAGCCACTTCACTCTGTGTTCACACCCTCTGTCAGTCGACACAGAGCAGTTTAATGTCACCTTATCAGTGTCCTTATGTTCAGTCACTGGTG